AAGCTGGCGGGCTTTTCTCCAACTTTGTGTATGGAAGTCTTAAAACATGACGCACCATTATTTGAATTGTAGATGGAAGAGTATGTATGGCTCCTCCTCCTCAATCGTCATGCCTCAGCCAGGCAGGAGGCAGCCAGCCAAGAAATTTTTTATTATGATCAGAACACGAATGATATATCATATGTTTTTATACAAATAATAAAAAATTTTACTTTTTAAGTTATTAACTTTTTAACACATATATTCCACTATTTATATAATAACATGTGGTGTACCACCTGTCCACCATTTATATAATGACATGTAGTGTACCACCTCATGTACCGGTCGTATTGAAAAATCTCTCCACCCAAGGAGGGTAGGTTATGTAACATCAATATCAATTTCGCCAAACAACGGTCGTCACCAGTCAAACGTTGCTTTCATGCAAAGCTGTTTCCATATGGACTTATCGGATAGGCCTATAAAATAAAAGATAGAATTTTATTCCTTTGTTTATAAAACCTAAAATATTCTTTTTTCTCTAAGATTGATAAAAACTACAGTAAGAAATAATAGGAAAAAAATAAAAATAAAGCAATGACGTTTCTACTTGCATACATCAGGGAAGTGGTTTTTACACACTGTTTTTTACTTCTCACATACTTCTTTTTATTTGTGGTATCAGATTGAATAAATCAAACAGAATCAACGATAATAATTAAATAAGGGTGTGTAAGATACTAAAATTGACGTTAGATTATTATTTCTCTATATTTGAGGCAAGTTCTAATTTCCAAGGTTTTGAGCTTAAATTTCAGCACAAAAAAAACTTCTTGTTTTGGGGACACTCTTCCGTTGGATTTTTCATAACCTCACCGTACGTTTTCATTAAATAAAGCAGGGTAAAGTAGTTATAAGTTGGAGACCAAATTCTATGTGTTAGTGGTTTTTTTCACACACAACCGGAAAAAAGAAACGCTTCTTTTTAATAGTTCTTAAGAGCTTTCGTTAGATGATATTTGGTTAACGAACTTTGAGTGCACGGTTAACTACTCACTCATTCATATATTGGTTTGGAAAGAGAAGCATCATTAGTGTTTGGTCGCCTTTTTTTTTTTATCTCCAATTTATTGTGATTGCATTGTTTTAGTTACATTGGCCAGTATTGAACTCTACAAGTCAAATAGAACTAAATTTCAATTAAATAAAATCTCGTACTAGTAAACGATTTATTAATTACAACCTCATATAAGCACAAGATACATATAAATCTCCTAATTGTTTATAGTGATTACAACTAATAATGTGTTAAGACTTATAATATGTGTAGGGTAATACCTCTAGATAACCTATAATAAGTTCATATGTAAAATAAATATATTAATAATTAAAATATACATGGTCGGTTCGGTTTGATTTTGATCAGTTTCAAAAGCATCAACCTGAACCAATCCAAAAGTAAATCGGTTCAATTTGATTTTAAATTGTTTGACCTTTTTCTTGGTCAAAATCAAACCAAACCGACCAATATGGTTCGAATTGATCGGTTTTGTAAGTTTGATGCGCAGCCCTAAAGTTAAACTTGCGCTAGTATGTCGATGACGATTGAACCCCTTATGTATAGTTCAAATTGCCAAATCCTTCATCACCTATAATTGTCTATTGCTTGCTTTATTTGTTCTGCAAACCCCAAACTTTCAAACCTCCACTACTAGTGTTGCGTGGTGATTAGTCTATCTTAATCCCTAATTCAATCATTAAGGTCAAGAATCAAGATAATAAGATAGAATAGAAGCCACGTCATGTTTGACATGATTAGGTTGTTTATATTGTGGATATCATGATCGAAAGATTTATTTAAGAGACCCAATTATCCTTGTAACACATTTTAAATTAAGTGAATAAAACGCATGCTAATCTGTGGTTAAATGAAGGCTGAAATACCTTTGTAAGTCTTTCCAGCTTCCAAAAATAATGGATAACATTGACTTGCTACCAGTTGTCTCTCTTTTTCTTAAAAAAAATATAAAACGTATGTTAATCCGGTCCTAATAAAAAAACGTAAGTCCTCGTCAAATGTTGCTTTCTTGCTCAACCTCGGCCAGAGCGTAGAGGTTACAAGTTGCACATAATTGCTATTGTCAATTTGAAACCAAATGATTGATTTGGAAGTGAGCCAATAGATTTCTAAATGGTTCATTGAAACTATTTGCAATAATATGAGACCTCATTCGTCTGACTCCGAACACCAATCCCACTGGCAATATTAGTGGAGGATTCACTAACTGGTGCATAAATATGGAATCGGATCCCCTCTTGAGCAAATCAAACGGACCGTTGAAATTTGATCCAACGGTTATAATTATTATAACTTTTAGAAGAATTTCTGTTTGTAACCGTTAGATCAAATTTCAACGGTCCGAATCCTTTGTTCGAGAGGCTTAACCTCCTAAGCTCATGAGGGGGTCCGGTTCCCATAAATATATGTGTAAACTCCACACGTCACACACACATCTTTTCAACATACTTTAATCCTTCGAAGAAATTAACTCTCTACATGGATATCATCTTCCTATTCCTATTCATGTTTGGATTTCAAATCACCACAAGCGCTTCTGTGTTGGATAAAAAGAAAAAAAAAAATTAGAAGTACTTTTGGGGTTCAAAAAAACATTTGAAATACTTTCTAAAAGAAACACCATCTGTGTAAATTTTTCAAGAAGTACTTTAAGTGCTTTTCCAAGAAACACTTAATGTGCTTCTAAAAAAGTGCTTTTAATGGGGTCAAAAAAGCACGTGAAGTGCTTTCTAAAAGGAACACCATTTGTGTGATTTTTGCAAGAAGTATTTCAAATATCTTTTCAGAAAGCACCTCAATGTGCTTCTAATGGAAGTGCTTTTACTGAAAGAGTTTCTAAACACAAGTGCTTTTACTAGAAATTGGATATTCATGTCAAACAATTCCAACAATCACACATTTGATAATCATGTAAAGAGATCCAAAATCTACCTACAATGCAGCTCAAAGGAACATTGTTCATCTACTCAAAGCAATCCGCAAACTTGACATTCTTTTTCATGAAGCAAACATGATGAGAACTTCAGTGCCTCCAAAATAGGGGCTTTTCAAGCATCTTGACATATGAGTTACGACATTATCTTCGTAACTAACTGCACAGTTTCACCTTTTTTTCTTTTTTCACCATCCGCTTTTCTTATTGCTCATCCATCATTTTGGTGCCACCAAACAAGTTGGTAGAACTACTTTGCATTCCAAATCACTCGTGTTGAAATCGAGCAAGAAAGGAGAAGAAAATTTGATGCGATGAATTACGCAAATAAATATTGGGAACTAATATTGGGACTGTGTCCACGAAAAGCTTAAACATTACAAGCAACATGGCCAATCAATATAACACGAGGACACAACACGTTTGATGAAGGACAATAAGAAGGGATAGGAATACAGAAGATATCCGGACTGACTTCCCGTCTTTGGCATCACACCAAAGGTGTATCAGAGTCACTCCAACAGTGGAAATAGAAAAATTCCGGCATCACACCGAAGGCGCCTTGGAATCACTCCAAGGTTCGTGCCTCACAAACAAGCAAGAAATAAAAATTTCTTGCACTAACAATGATCTTAAAAGAAAAACAAAGTAGCCCTTCTTATAGGTAATTGGCACATGAATCTGGAAAGATCCACATCAATATACTTAGGAATTCTAAAGATTCATTTATGACACCAAATACATTAATATTGTAACGTAGCGAGACTCAAAGATAATGAACTTGCAGACCGTGTGTAGACAGGAAAGACTTAGAATTTTGAACTTGGCTAGGTTTGATGCATCGCTACTCCAAGAGGAATATCTGTAAACCTGTTGTTTGAACCTAACAAGATGCTACGCATACAGAACCACTCATGAAACTGCTCAGAAATTGCTCTCTGAATGTTTCCTTTTCTCCATCCGCCCCCACTCTTCTCTATTCTTGTTCTGGATCATGACATGGTAAAAATTTAAACCAAACCCACGATAATGACATAGCAATTTGACCCTACTGAGGAATGGAACTTCTGGAGTGGATAACCTATAAACTTTTGCTCTGTAATCTGCAGTGATCTCATAGCTAAAGACAATTGGGCCACATCTATATGCACACAAACACAAAAGACACATCCATTCTCTCAGAAGCAGCAGCATCAACGATTACATAGTGTGTTAAGTTTATAATAATATGCAAGTATTCACTCAACAGTAATATCTCTGCACACGGAAACTTCACACAATAAGAACTTACATTGATTACCCAACCTTCATTTCTTTCACAAGTTTGTTCCCTCTATTTTAGACCTATTTTGTTTCATACGCATTCTAGTTTCAACAAAAAAAGCTCGTTCTTTCTATTCATATGTATGATAATTGCAAAAGAAAAGTTCGTACCACAACAACAACAAAGCCTTAGTAAGGTCAGCATTGAATCCTATAATGCCAATAGAAATAATGTTTTCTAAATGTTCTTCAAGCTACACCACGTCTAAGCTTCAATCAAACTAGTTAATTATGTATTGAGAAAATAACCATCCAGAGGTTAAGAGTTAAGACTTTCATCAATAATGAGCTAGGGAAGAAAACAGCAAACTGAACAAGTTTACCACGAACACAGGTTTTACAGAAACACACATCGGTTCAGCAAACATTTATCTGACAATAAGAATGTTCCCATAAGGTTCATTCAACCAAATAGGAATAAGAGATCAAATATGGACGGAAGTCCAATTTCCAAGTTCCCTCCACAATGCTACATTAACTCGATAAACATAAAACCCAAACCTAAAAACCACAAAGGAAACACAAATAAAATAATTTCTCGGCTCCTGAAGACCAATGCTTTGGCATTTAGCTTTGCCTTTGTTCACATCATCCAAGCAAAGAAATTGCACAATGCAGTTTAAAATAAATAGATAGGTGGGAATGGGAAAAGAACATTTGGCACATTCGGCCTGAGCTAAATTATAAAGGGGGAAAAAACACAGCTCTTTTTATTTACTCATAATGTATGTACTGAGTATTTCCCCTACACAGCTCATGTAACAGGATAATGAGTAGACGTTCACTATTAATCCACGCTTAAAAAACAAACTCTTCCTCTAGTACGAACAATCAGTATATATAACAAGCACATTTAAAAAAATAAGAAAAATAAACAAAACCCATTACAACAAAAACACTAAAAATTAAGCAGGGATCTGTACATGTGAAGTTGGACGCAGAAGAAATGGAGTAATGGAATGCTGCTGCTACACAGGTGGAATGTTGGAGAAGGAGAAGCCCTTGTACCCTTTATACGCATAGTAAGCAATCCGCGTGTAATAGAAGCCCGGAAGAAACAAGATCCCACCAAGTATCGCAAAAAATAACCCTGAAATTATTGGAAAAAAAAACCCACCACAAATTAAGAAAAAAATTGAAAATTGAATAAAAGGGGTTTTACGGTTAGGGTTTGTGGGGTAGATTACCGTGGGCTTTGTCGCCGCCGACATGGTTGTAGGCCATGAGGATGCCGATTACAAGGCCCAGAGTGCCGGTGACGAGAAGGGCGAGGGCGAGGGCGATCTCTTTGATGGGAGGCTTGTTGCTGACTGTATAAGAGTCCTCCATCATCATGTCCTCGTCTGTAATGGAAAACGCGTGATCGACGTACGCCATGGCTGATTGGATTAAGCTGTGAAAACTGGGTTAGGGTTTGTTTGGAATTCGAATTTGGGATTTTAGCTGAATTTTGGGTTTCGGTTTTGTGACAATTCAAAAGATGGAAGCTTTGGAGTTTTGGTAATGGTCAAAAGAGGAGAAGGGTCAGAGTCGGAACAGGATTGAGGAAGAAGAAGGTGTGATGGACACCGCGATTTGTGTGGTGCTGCCACGTGACATGTATGGAGTATTACGTCAGGTGTTACGTTTCTCTTTCTTCATTTTTCGGTAGATCACAAGATGTATGATCCGTTACATAAGTTAACCTCGTGTCACGTACACACACAGCGGATCTTTACTTTGCTTCAATTGGAAGTTGGTATTAACACATGATTTTTAGTAAACATCTTCACCCAATGCAAGTGGTCCTTTATACAGTGGTGAAAATGTATTGAGTTCTTACATAATGGTGTGGGTTTGAAATCGTCGGTGACTAATCTAACAAAATTTATCCTTTAACAAATAACAATACAAGTTATGTCACTTAGTACTACGGTTTTGGTGATATTCTTCTTTACTTGTAAGTGAGAGGTCTTATGTTCGATTCTCACCAATAACAAATTTGAACAACATTATTACTAGCCCATTGTGAGGCTAAGTTCACCCATTTCCCTTAGTGTAGATAATATCGTATGTTAAAAAAAAAAAAAAAAAAAAAAAAAACGATACAAGTTATAATTGTCCACGACACATTTTCATATTTTAAAAACGCTGCATTATAGCTTTATTATCAATGAAAGAAAAAGCATTGCTCTCAATATAAATCCATATGTTATAACTCAATCATTGATCTCTCATTTAGTTACGCAATATTTTCACAATATTCATAGAGGAAAAGGCTCTCACAACTGAAGTAGTAGCAATCGATAGAATCAAAGTAAATGTAATTAGCAATACATGTGATTATATACTCTATTCCTCCACGTCTCCGCTTTTGCAAGACTACCAATTCTTTTTAATTGAAAAAATTCACTACTTGAATGCATGTCAAAATATAATTCCCAAGTTGATCTTGAAGTGCCTAGAGTTGACAAGTGAAAAATTCATTCAGACAAAACTTAGGAAAAACAAATTAGCTTTTGATCATCAAAATCCGATAGAGCTATTTTATCTAGCAATCAGAGTGCATGTATGAAAGACAGCTCTAACCTTCAAAGGAGCAGCATCCAAATTATCCATGGGTGTACGCTAGAGTTCGGAGAGTCAACTAACCCCCTTCCTCCTTAATGGGTCCGCCCCTATGTTCAATGGAATTTCTTTTTATGATTCATAAGTTCAATCTTTTTTTCCTATAGTTTTGTTTCAACATTCATGCTTTTAGTGAATTGAATAAATTGTTAGGTTGATATAATTTCGTCAGAGTAGCTTTCTTGATATTTTGTCATCATAGGTACGAAGCCCCAATAAAGAATACAATGAGTTATTCTGCCGATGGTACCAATAAATAGCACCATTGTTGTGAGCCCCATTTTCGAAGCCTACATTGTAAGGCAGAATGACCAGCACTGCTCTCCAAGACCGATCAGTTTTGGAAGAGTAGATGTTGATCCTGATCAGCTGCTGCGACGATGCCCTCGACTCTTCAGTAACAAAAATGAGATTGTAAAAGGCTGATATCAGTGGATCAAAAGCCAAGTTGATCGGACTCGCAAGTCCTTTTTGTTGCTTTCACACTTGGGTGTTGAGACACCAACTCTCAAATAACTCAATTTGCACGAAATTCACTACTCAACACAGTCCACTGGTGGAAGAATATACTACTTATTAGCATTTCTGCACTCGTACCCCATGGATAATCCATTATGGTAACCACGAACTACGGTTAAGCATCTATGGTAAAACACATACAATGCATATTATCGTTTATGGTAATTACATATACACGTATAACCATGGTTAATATAAAGCATGACGCGCCTTACAGATAAGAGCAAACTAGAGACATCAAATGATTAATGTAAGACATGACGTTTCCTACAGAATAAGAACAAAATTGTCAAATGCAGCAGGAAATGAAACGAGTTTATGAAGAATAGTGTGCTGCCATTGGAAGCTATTAGAAGCAGTATCCTGCTTTTTGGAGACATACAATCCAGCAACTAGAAATAGTCCAAATTTACATTGGAGGAATGGTTCGTACCCTCCAGTAAGTGCCCCTAACCACCAATTTTCTGCTCCTAGTTTGTTTCACCATAAACAATCATATGTGGATCGTGTTAAATCGGCGGCTGAATCACGAGTCCCTGACGAGTTATGGGTGATTTCTTCTGATTTCGATGTACGAGAGTAGCACGACTCAACTTGTTGCGAAGAGTACAATTTAGGCCAAATTAAGGTGGCAGCAATGGTAACCAACTAGTGAGAGTATGAATCTCATATCGTGAAAGTGCAGAAAGCACTCCCCCACAAAAATGACACAAGTTGGCTTCTCATCCAAGTATTACAGCTACTTGGTTTCACATAATAGTACATATTAGCTCATTTGCTTTCACATATCAGTCAACCCCCTCCTGATCCAGGCAGTTTAATCACAACCGCTGTGCTGCTGAATGGAGTATGGCCAATTCTAAGGCTGATACTAAACCTGCTGGAGAGATCACTTTCTTGGTGTTGGTGCTTTCGCCCTATGGGAGAGTTTTAAACCTAATGTCAACGGCACAAACTACACAAGTTATTAGATCACACAAACTGCTTAACTCACCGCTTACCAGTTTAGTAGTTCTTTACTCTGTTTGGAAGAAAGGAAAAGAAAAAGTGAGCCATACCATGTCTTCATCTCTTCCAGTCTATCCTCACTTCTCAAGCCTTCTTCCTTAGTCTGCAAATTATATAACCTCCCTGAATTAATATTGGCTGCATATGCTGTAATTATTCCAGATTTTATAAAAGAAAAGACATAACTTTCTCATATTAAAAGCCACAATCACATGCATACCTTGATCACGTTCATGCAGAACTTCATTGCATAGAGCATTTTCACGAGTTGCCAAGTTTAACGATATTGTGAACATTGATTAGGTAACCTGACTGATTGCATCAATAACAGTTGGCTGGGAGTACAAGGATTTGCAGGTGCACAATGTTGGTTTCTCTCCTGTCCCCGCTACATGTATCGGTTGATTGATTGTTTCCATATGCTACTACTCTTTGAGTTCTTTGACATTAACTGGGATGAAGACCCTGTCCAGAGACTTGTCTTCTTATCGAATGGGCAAGTTCTGCTTGAACTCTCGTCTGCACCACCAGATGCATAAAGAGAGGAACCCCATTCTGATTTGACCTTACCTGGTTCTACATTTCTCTCAAATTGATTTTCTTACTGAGGCAAACAATTGAAAGCTGTTCATCAACAGAGGGGAAACTCTTCCTATACCTCGATCCAACTATATCCTTTATTTTTTGGCACACCTCTTTCTATCATTTCCCTCCTTATCTTTGTAGCACCTTCCCAACTACCTCCTTCAGAGTACACCTTCGACAACAGTACATAAGGTACATCATTTTCTGGAACCAACTGAACTAACTTCTTAGCAGTCCATTCTCCCAACTCTCTGTTCCCATGTATCCTACAACCACTAAGCAAGGATCTCAATATAGCAGGCCAAGGAGTATAAGGCATCACTTCAATCATTTGTCTAGCATCTTCAAGGTATCCGTGTCGTGAAAGCAGATCAACCATGCAACCATAAACATCCTGAGATACTGGTTCCATCTTGTAATCGGAGTTCATTAACTCAAACAAAGAACAACCTTGATCAACCCAACCCACATGACTACAAGCTGCTATAGCAGACACAAATGTGGCTTGGCTGGGCTTTAGATTTGCCAACCGAATTTTCTCAAAGATATCCATCGCTTCCTCGGCCAGACCATGATGAGCGCAAGCCATGATCATAGCATTATATATAACCACGTCATCAGATCCAAGTGACTGGATAAAGGTCATCCTTGAATTTCCAATATCCCCGCATTTTGCATACGCATCTATAACTGCACTAACAACAAAGACTTGCATGTGGAATCCCATTTTGATGACAATGGAATGGACAGATTTAACTAACTGATAGCTTGCAATATCGGCACAACTATTTAGAATGCTTCCCAATATAAATTCATCAGGCTTCCCACCAACTTCTCTCAGAGAGTTGAAATTCTTTATAGCTTCAAAAAAATGTCCCTGATGCACCAGAGCAGATATCATAGTTCCCCAAGATACCAAATCTAGTCTCTCAAACCCTTTAAGAAACTCAAAGGAATCATCCAGTAGTCCAAATCTAACATAGCACTTAATTAATGAGCTACAAACATATCCGTGGAAGGAGATGCCCAACTTGACAACTGCACCATGAATTTGTCTAGTCATATATTGGTGTTCATCATTATAGCAAGCTTCCAGTATGATGGAGAATGTGACTTCACTCGCTTCAACTCCCAAGTCCCATAAATTACAAAAGATCTGCATGGCTTCTGAATAACAATAGTTTGAATTATACCCAGAAATCAACTCATTCCAATAAGTTATGTTTTTGTAAAGTATGCCATCAAAAAACAAGTGTGCCATGTCCATAGCGCCACATCTAGAAAACATACTGATTATTGAGCTTCTGACATTAGGTTCATTCCAGAACCCATATTGTAATGCAAGGCAGAAAAACTGACGCCCAAGGTTAAGATCAAGTAGCTCACCGCATTGCCTAAACAAGACTGAGAACGTAATATGGTTTGGCTTCATGTTTTCTAGCATGAACTCATGGACTAAGTTTGCAATTTCTCTTGCATTCTTGCCTTCAAAGAAGACCCCAAATGCGGTGTTCCACGATATGACATCTTTCGTTTGTATCCTATTGAAAACGTGCAAAGCCAAATCCATCCTACCATTTCTAGAGTACATATCCATAAGAGCATTCATGACTGAAGTACTTAATTTCAGCTCACTTTGGATGATCAATCCGTGAAGTTGCTTCCCAAAATCCAAATTTCCGACAACAGAGCAACCCTTTAGAGCATTAACAAAGGTGAACTGGTCCATGCTTATACCTTTGCATACCATCAAACATACAACTTTCAATGCTTCAAATCCATAGCCACATTGCCTGTAACCTCCAATCATAGCATTCCAACCGGCAGTATCAAGATTGCTTATAGACTCAAACACTCCCTTCGCCGATTCGACATCCTCCAACTTAGCATACATGTTCAAAACAGAACCACCCACATAGCAGTTCTGTTCGATCCCAGTTTTCAATGCAAAACAATGAACACTCATGCCGAATTCATATGCTTCGATACTAGCACACGCTGCACACCCCTTGAGAACACTACCAACAGTGAATTCATTCGGCCTCAACCCACTTCTTACCAGTTCCAAATAAAACTCCAAGCCCAATTCAAACTGACCGTCTTGGACGGCAGCCGAAATCATCAAAGTCCAAGTGACGAGGTTTCTCTCAGGCATTTCACCAAACAGTTTGAACGCATCACCCATAATCCCACATTTTGAGTACATTTTGATCAAATTATTGAATACAAAACCGTCATTAGTGAATCCCAACTTGATGACACGGGAGTGGATTTGGGTACCAAGAGAAGCTGACTTCAAATTGTCAGAGAGGGAAAGAGCAGCGGCAATGGCAGTTGGGTTTTCACCCATCACGAAATTGGAGGATGAAGTGCAGGATTTTGAACTGTAGAGTTTGGAGATCGCATGAAAGTGCCTGAGTGAAGGGCAGAGGCTGCCTTTTGAAAGTTCGAAGGTGAATAATCCCTTTGCCCACATTGCATTGCAGGTTGAAGTTGGGTCTTTTGGGAAAACGGGGAAAATCTTTTGAAATGTATTGGGTTTGTTTCGAAACTTGTTTGAAATTAAGATGTAGAATTCTTTCCCCTCCTTTTCTCATCTCCTTCTTCCCCTTCTTCGACGTAACCTAATCGTTAACCGTTCAAGTAGGAAGGGAAAGGAAGAGAGATTAGAAGGGGGAGAGAATCTTCCTCTGTGTAAATTACTAAGGATTTTTATTGCACAGAAAAGACTATACTAACAAACGGATGAGAATCCTCTCCGGATCCTCTTTGTGGGCCTCCTAGGAATCCTCACATCATAATCGTTCATCGTACATCGTACGGTCAGTTTCGTTAGGTACTATTTGTGTTTAATTTTCAATAAAAAAATTCAAAATGATTTCTACCTTCACAATGTACGATAAACGGATCCTAGAATCCCACAATTTGGATCTAGATGGGATCCAAATCCCAAACAAGCAGCGGCCACCAGAATTAGGGGTAGGTTTGGTACGTACCAAAATTCACATGCCAATTACCACACTAAACTTTTGGTATGACAAACTCTTTAATAATTACCATACCAAATTTTTGGTATGTCGAATTTCGATATGCCAAACAGTTTAGTTCACGTGGCATGATAATTATAATTATCACTTTATTTTGGGCTACTTTATGGATCAAAATTTGACTTTTTTTAATTCAAAGCTCAAACGTATGTTTTTTCTATTTTTATGGCTTTATCTCGTAATCTTGTTGCCTAAATTGAAAAACCTAAGGGCGTGCTTACTAACCCGGAATCGAAATGAAAGTAAGGAGTTCGATTCCGATTACAGATCATACATGTGTTCACTAAAATTGTGAGTAATCAACAGTGCGTGGGACCCACACAAAAAAGTGGAATTCAATTCCTGGAATGAGAGGAATTGGACTCCCTACATCAATGTGGTAATTGAATTCCGAAAGGATGAGGGAATTAGGAATCCATTTGCTCTTCCTATTATGCCTTCCTATCAATAGGCCGTTTAATCTAACAAATTAATCTCACAAGCTTGGAATCTGGTAGGGCGAGGGAATCGGAAATTTGATAAGTTCAGGAGATCTGCGGGTCGCAAGCGAGATCTTGTCCCCGAACACCGAATCGTCGTCGTTCAGGAGGCGATGGTCCAGCCTCTTCGACATCGCCAACACACACGCGTGGGCGTAGCTCCGGACGATAACGCCAACATCAATATCTCACGGATGTGCTTCTCGCTCGCCGACTCATCCTCCTGCAACATCGCTTTGACGATCGTGACCTCGAGGTCTAGGGCCAAATTCCTCATGTTTTTGGGTTTTTCCTTCTGCGGGGAAGGAAGATGAATGCGGCTGGGTTTTTTCTTTTGCGGGGAGGGAAGATGAATGCGACTGGGTTCTTTATTTGGTTTTTACACAATTGTGGATATTTAATTCTTTAATTTAACTAAATAAGTAAAAATAAATAGTTAAAACGTTTTTAAAAATAAATACATACAATAAAATAAAACAAAAAAGGGTATTTTAGTAATCACGTTAAGTCTTATTCCGATTTAGTTGAATTAGTAAACAACTTCTATGAACTCAGTTTCATTTCTATTTCGATTCCTAAACATTTAAGTAAACAGCTTCAACATGAATCCGATTCTGATTCCTCTTCGTTTCAATTCCTCTTCAATTCAATTCCTCCATAATCTAATTCCTCCTATTTTGATTACAGTTACGTAAACGAGCCCTAAATAGAATCTCTGCATTAAGAAACCACAAGCAACAAGCACTCGCAAGTAGGGGTGGAAATTTTTACCAAATTACCGTACCAACCGCCCTACCAATCATACCATACCAAATTATTACCAAAAATTTGTACCAATTGGTAATGGTACAGTATTGGTACCCAAAACCAGTATTGGTGGTATACCGTACCTACCAATATTATTAATATTATATTATGTATTTATTCATATAATTATTTGAGGGCAAAATTAATAAAATTAATAATAATTATTGTAGAAGTGTGAAAAATGTAAAAAAAAAAAAATATATATATATATACACACAATCACTCATAGTGACAAGCTTTACAACTTTCATGAAGAGGTCAGCTTCAAAATCCAACACTATAATCCTTAAACCTTAAATTTATATTTAACCGTCGATTGTCATTTACGCTTTATTCTTCTTACTGAATTTCATTTTTTTAATTTTCTTTCTTGAAACCATGATCATCTGGCGGATGTAAGAAGATGAACGTTCAGATCTTTGATATCACATTTCGATATTTATGGTTAACTGAAATATGAGTTGATGTCATATAGTTTGTAGAAACTTTATAAACATCAAGCAATATTTTCACTAACCGTAAAACTCTGAACATAATATCAACGATCCAAACCGTTCATCTTCATGCATCCTCTAATAGATCATGTTTTCAAAAAAGAAAATCCGAAAAAAACAAAATTTGATGAGAAAAATGAAGCGTAAATGTAAACAACAATCAACGGTTAAATTTTGATCTATGATTTATATGATTATAATGGCGAATTTCAAAGTTAAGCTCTTCACGAAAGTTAAAGCTTGTCATTACGAGCGTTTATATATTTTTTCTATATTTTTTACACTTCTACATTAATTAAAAAATATTAGATTTTGGGTAAACTAAGTGGCGTAAAACAAAGTGGCAATTACCATTGGTATACCATACCAACCAAACTATTTGATATACTAAAAGTTTGGTATGGTAATGGTAATAGATTTTGCCGTACCAAATATTTGGTATGTTAATTGGTACAGAGATTTTGGTACGGTAATGTACCAAAACCACCCCTACTTGCAAGCACACCAACATCAATCCATGTAGAAAGTGACAGTGTCGAAGTAATATGAGAGGCAATGAAAGATTTTTTTCTAAACATTATTGAAATATTATAGAATTATATATATATATATATATATATATTATAACATATATTTATATTTTTTGATACAGTACGGTAATACCATCGATAATAGTATCGAATACCAATACCGTACTAAAAATTTTCGGTTCACTATAATACTGTGCCCTTACCAATTAGCACAAAAAGTTTGGCAAAAAATTGATATGGTACAATTGACAATTAGGTTGGCATGGTAATTTGGCAATAAATTCCACCTCTAACCAGAACAACACAAGGTAGAGACACCAACGGTCCACCAAAGTAGCAACAAAAGAGGTAAAGTGACACACCCCGACCTAAATCAGAGCGTGCTAGCCGTCACGTGAGAGTGACGTAACCATGTGCACAGTGCGGAAGCAATAATGATATGGAGAAATACGAGTGAATAAAATCCAAACTACCAAAAGTACTAGCTAAAATAAGGTGCTAGTGCGAGATTAAGTGTGAAATACACAATCAGAGCATAAATAGCCTAAGTGCAGTCCGACTGGACAAGTACTAATTATACAACACCCAAAGGTGATCCTACATTTGTGATGTTCTGTTAGAACCACTGTCGAAATCTCGTTGAAATCATTTCCATCTTATGAGATTAATCCGAATTGCTCTCGAGACTTAAAGTTCTTGGTCCAATATACTAGTTTGGATGAGCTAAATGGAATTGAAATGAGAATATCATCGATGATGTTTTCACTTATATGGTAGCTACCGACATAAATGAAAAGCGACGATATCGAACCGTGTTCCGTTGATTAAGTGACAACGTAGAATTGATTGGACAACTAAAGTTACAATCCAGGTCAAATTCCTTACCAAAATGTGTATTGGACATGTCGTTCCTACACTGCCCAAGGTAACCCTATTATGTTACAAGTGGGAAAGGAAGCGTTATGAGATGAAAGAAATAGTGCGATATGATGCAAGCCTTACGGCGCAAGGTTTCTCTCAAAACGTTCCGTGATTGATAGCAACATTATGAAATGTGGTTAGTGTTTTCTCCATGTGGATATAGATATGGAGATTTACATGTAAGTTCCTGAAGAATTACATGGATTGGTTCAAATAGTTCCAAAACCACGGAACACCCTCTTAACTCGCTTTGAGGCGTTCACTTACAATCCGACGGATGTGGTATACCTGTCTAAGTGATTATTTGATTAGTCACGGATATGAATTATGCCTTTGCGTGTTAAACTATGAAGTCTTATTCCAAATTGCTAGAGTTACAGTTTATGCCGTTGACACGAATCTCACTAAGACTTCGGAAGAGCTTGAGAAAACTGCCTCGCACCTGAAGATGGAATTTGAGATGAAGGATCTTGGGAAACTCGTTTATGCCTTGACCTGAAATTGAAGCATTGTTCTGACGATATTTTGGTCTACCAGTTGAACTACACCTCGAATGTGTCACTTTTAAGTATACCTTTGATCATTCATACGTTATATGCAAATGAGACATTTGAAGATGTTTTGGAATCCGAAATTCCATATCTAAGTTCAACTTTACGCTTCCTTGTACTTAGCTCATTGTATTTAGACAAGATATCTCTTTCACTGTTGATCTTGGTAAAGATGTAGCACTGCGCCGACACGCAACCACTGAATTGGTATTAAAGACGTACCCTGAAGGTACTACATGGGCAATCCCAACGCATCTCAAGCGGATCCAACCCCCATGTTCCTCGAAATGATGCTTGCCTTGTTTGTTATGCTGACGCGGGTTACTTATCAAACCCGCACAAGGCAAAATCCCCGAATGGTTATGTCTTTACCGTTAGAGATATCGCAATATCTTAGAGGTCCACGATATGACCTTAGTTGCAAAATCTTTGAAATGTTCTAAGACTCACCTCACTTCACTACGCCACAAGGGAGACATGGTTAGGAGTTCTTGTTGAGCATATTTGAAGTACTTGTTATGTTTTCATCCATCGTTAAGTCCCAACAACGATCCATGAAGACTCTGCCGCATGTATCAACCCGACCAAGCCATGATACATTAACGAAATCAACACCATGACATATTGCGTCCACATCTACATCAGCAAAGCATCAGGAGATTGAAGTCATGCAAGCCAATCCCAGACAACCTTGTCGACCTCTACACGACGTCATTGTTGAAGTCAACCTTCCAAAAGCTTGTCCGAGGAATTGGTATGCCTAACTATCATATGCAATACTTGTAGTTCTCATTTGGAAGTTATGTCAAACTCAGGGGGAGTATCCAGAAGTATATT